GTAAATGTCACCTGCTGCATTTCATGCCAGAGTTTYAAACTRAGATCATCTCGTGATGAGAGAGAATTAAGTTACAGCTRTTCTGTTCAAACAATGAAAATGACACACAATCTTGACCTCAATATTTATTAGTAGTCACACCATTAATAACTAACTCTGAGATATTACTACCACATCAAGCTTTGGCTCAACTGCTGTACATTTGAATAAATAAAGCGATTTTATGATTGTTATTTTCCAGTCTGAGTTTTTCTAGAAATCAATGCATCTGATGGCAGATATACAGATTTCTTTTTATCAATATGCATTTTTCATTTAAGGAAATGTCACAATAAAGACTTAACGTACATAAACATTGATTTAACAACACTTACTTAGAACTTGTGTACTTAAAAGTACTTAAAATGCATTTTTTGCCAAAAAGAAAGAAACATGCTGTTGCATCTACATTTTACTGCTTGGTAGTTAAGTATGTTTACGCCTTGCTGATTGAAGATATTTTTAGTCCTCTATCAGCCAATTAAAAGTGTCAGATGATCATTTGGTTTCAAATTCTAACTTTTTTTTGTTCACAGTTGTTATCATTTAATCTCGTGCCCTGTRACAAAATCTCTCCAATATAAGAAAATCTGACAGATTTTTGCCCTCCCAGGGCTTTAGTACTTTAATACTTGTGCGCTTTTAGGAAAAGCAAATGAAAAAAACATCCACACAACCCAGACGAACTAGAAAATTAGACTTATCTCTCCCACCAGCCTGAGCTTGTAGATGAAGGAGCAGCTCCAGCAACAGGACACAACTTGTCAACAAACTCAGGTTGCCTCACTTACACCGTGCTGCCCTTATTTCAACAACACAACCAAGGTTACCACTTAATGACCAGCCTAGACTGTGTTTATTGTGTGTGTGTGCGTGCGTGTGTGTGTGTGTATAAATAGTCAATTTGTAGTTTCAGGTACTGAGGATTATGCTTTTAAGAGAATATCAAACAAAAACAAGGTGACTGCATTTGGGCTAAGCCTGTCAGCATTTGATATTGAACAATGTCTGCCAGCATATTTAATGTCTATTAATAGTACATTTAAATAAGACACAAAATAGGTTAATGTTTAAGGGAGAATGGAAAAAAAAACAGAAGTTTTTTGTTGTTGTTTTAAGAGGACTTCTAAAACCATTTAATGTTTTAAGAATCCCTAGGCTGACAGTAGAATATACAAACTGATGCATCAATTAAAAAAACATGCAGTAGCCGATGTGACACCCTATGAATGCTGACTTCAATGAGCTATTTACAGTATAAACTACAGGCCCAGCTAACTACCAGCAGCATGAATGTATCATGTCATGCTCTGTTTCAAGCAGCTCGTGTAACTGAGACTGTCACTTCAGTCATTGTTAAATATGACACCACCCAGCAATGTCATTGATTCTGCTAATTGAACAAAAAGGCACAGATGTGTGGAAATTAATAAATGCAGTAGGGGGGGGAAATAACTTAGCGCAAGCAGTTTTAAGGGCAGCAGGACCTGCTTTTACTATTAAAAGGTGTTTACATTCACCTAACTATATGCTACATGAATGGTTACGTTTTATTTATTTTATTTTTTGGTTACGTTTTATTTATTTTATTTTTTTACATGATGATGACCAAACAACCTGCAGTGCCTCTTTACAGAGCGTCCCGCAAATTGCGCTACACACTGCTCAGGTGACATGAGGAGTCAGCTAGTGATCTCATGACAGGTTATGTGTAAACATTAAATTGCTTCAGTGTGTATGCTCTGTGCTCTACAGTTACAGAACCATTACAAATGTCTTTAAAAAAAGAATACAGGGGGGTGGGGGTCCTGACAATTGTTTGCCCATCCTAAAAAAAGGCACAGGAGGCATTTACTGAACCAGWCATGCATGCAGAAAATAACTGCAAAGTAATGTGAAGGAGGGCCTTTAGGCTGTCACTTGTATGACCCTTTTAGTGTGCATTACTAACTGAACTCGCTGCATTAGGTGCAAATAAAAATAAAACTGATGATCCGCCGTGGTTTAATTTCAGGGTGTTGCATGCAATTGCTAGATATTTGTGAGATTTGTGCACAAGCACGACAATCTGCAGAATGTTAGTGTTTTAACCCTACGCTGGTTCAATTACATGTCTGTATTTGGAAGTTTTGATTTCAGTGCTCTGCGTTTAGTTCCTACTTCATACAAACACACCCCATAGGGAAAAAATATATATAATTTTACCTGAAGTGGGACAAATGGGTCTGCCTCTTCTGGCTGCCAGACCTCAACCACACTGCTGGACATCTGACTCAGAGCTTTGTAAGAAAATAAATAATAGAAACATATATAAATTGTTAAATGTTGAGCTGCAGAGAGCTAAAACTGCGACCGCTTTAAGCAGCTAATARTTAATACAATCAGCCAGCAAGCGTCCTAAATATTTATTATGTGTAATTACAAACGAGTTAGCTACAAGGGAGTGGATAAGTAATTAAATACAAATATTTTAAAAAGAAAGCCACTTCACCTCGGGCAGGTTGACAATTTTTTGCTAGCTGCTTGTTTAGCTAGTTAGCTTGGTGGCTAACGAACTTAGGAAAACATCTTCAAACGCTGATGCTCCGCACACCAGTTTAAAGGGCTGCAACTACCTAGAAATATCYTAGGAATTTATTTTACATTCACAACCAATAAAACGCATTTTAATTTCCATTTAAGACGGAGACTTTCCTGCAGAAGCAAGTTGCAGCTTCGTAAAAAAAAATCAATCGGTAAAGGGAACTGCTGGAAGGCAGCTAGCAAGAAGAAAAAAAAAACTATCATTGTGTACTCTGGTAAAATAAGGCAGCTACAATCTACTTGCAAGTTAGTATACATCAAATTATACTACCTCACACACACATACGGGACTCTACTTGTAAATAAAAGACTATAAATGCTGGAGAACAGTTTAGCTTCGTTTTGTACGCTCGCTGTCAGGTAGCTAACTTGTTTTTTTTTTCCATCAGCAGTCGCGTTATGTTCCACCCTAACTAAAAAAGGTGAGCGTCACAAACCTTGCAGCTGAGCCCCTCCGTGTTGTACGTTGGGTAGAAGTAATTGTAGTACTCCTAATAGTATTTTGATCCACGTTTTCCTGTGACAGTGGCTGCCCTGGTGGAAGTCTTGTAGCCCCGCCATGCTGCCCCTCTCTGCCTTGTGTTTCGCTGCGTCGCTCTTTCTTCCTCAGCAGCAGCAGCAGCCTGGCGGTAGCAGCTCCCCGCACCGCCCGCTGCTGCTGCTGCTGACACGCAGCGTGGGGTGGGAGGAGGGGGGTGCAGCTTCCCTCATTGCTGCCGATGCGTCCCTTTCACAAAGTAAAGCCAATAAAATACATATAAAAGCTATTTTTTAAAAGGATTCTCAAACTGAAGCTCGTTTTTTAAAAACAGAAATAGACACACTTCCTGTCATGTCAAAATAAAATAAAAATATTACACATTTTGCAATCAGATGGGCTCAAAGTTTAGATCTTCAAAGCTGAAGATAAAGTCCCATGATAATATTGCAAAACCTGTCTTATATTTTGCAGGAAGTCTCAGCTGCTGCTATATGCAATTGTAAATGATAAAAAAATAACAATATAATGCAAAAATGGCAGCAACCGAAAGGTTTGGAAAGTTGTATTTACCATTAAGGTTCTTTTTTTATTATAAATATCTTAAGATGGCAGCAATGTATGTCTTGGCCCCACTCAGACAAGCTTTTGGTGCAACAGTTCAGTCAATATTAAATGTTATTACTCCATTCTGAGTGTTCAAAGAGCCATCTACAACAGGTAAGATATTTATTCATGCCCTTTCCACAGAGCCTCACTTCAAAAGACTTAAACTGTTGTAATACACACAATGCGATACACACAATCAATTTATGTAAACATCAATACCGTTTTTGTTTTATACATTAATATTACCAGAAAGTTTTTTAAGGTGCATTCTTTTTTTATTTCCAGTACTGCAGGTTTTTACTGAAGTATGTAAATACTTCAAACACTTCCTCCTTCTGAATTAGTCATCCTTTAGAGATAGGAAGTGGCATTAATTTGAATATACTCAAAGTTTGAGCTTGCTAGGATTGATTTGGTGCACCTCAGTTTTTCAGAGGAATTCATATTTTTGTAAACTTTTCTACACATTTTATACCTTATAAAAATAATATACTATGTAATAGTGTAACACACAAAATTGCATGATTATGATTAGCTGMTTCATGATTTGCTACACAAGCTTTGGTTAAGATTATTGAGACTTTGCACACGGGCAAGATGCATCAAATTAAGAAATATAAAATATATTTCCAAATGTTGCGGTGCTTCCTGTCTACAGGATTTCATTGAAATCTGTTTCATCTTTCACTAGTTACTCAGACACTTTGGGTTGAATATGTATAAGTTACTCATCAGTTTTTTTTTTTGGCTTGTGACACCAAACATCAGACATTTAAGCAATGTTGACTGGTTTGAGGTTCAAGCAATTCTATTTTCTTAATGTCACCAGAATATCAAAAAAAAACAAAAAACCACTAGTTAACTGCAGCTACACCCCGCCCCCAATCATACCCTTATGACTTGCTTAAACAACAAAAAATATTTAATAAGCCAAAACAATCTAATAATGCCTTATATAGCAGCTGCAGCACATTTCAGAGAGGAACCGGTGCTGTTGTTTGTGCATCAGTAACTTAAGAGTTAAAGTCTTTAAGTAATGTCTTGTTGCAGGTAATGGTGTGATAATTTGTGGTGAAACGGGCACCCCCTTCTACGAAAGTGTTGACATATAACATGTCAGCTGCATGAATCACAGGACAGGTTGGGCAGGTATACGCATGAAGTAACACATCAGGTGGGTGTGTCAGCTCACTTTGACACTGCAGCTGGGCTTTTTAAACTTTTTATTTTCTGCACTCGAATTGCAGTAGTCCACGTGAGTGACTTTTACCTGCTACAATTTTTTTTGCACTTCTAAACTGCACCAGAAAACAACGTTACACTACAAGGTCATTTACTTTCTAGTAAAGATAAGTGGGTCATGGGGAGGGTCTGTTATCAGACCAGGGGCAGGTTACACCCAGGACATCACAGGTCCACCCCACAGATATAGTTTAATTTATGGCCACAAAATCAACCTGACTTGTATGATTTTTTTTAAAGGGAAGGAACCAAAACAGTCCCAAGAAAGAAAAAAAAAGCATGCAGGCATGTGGTAATAAAAGTACAAACTCCTGACAGAACGTCCTGTAATGCAATCAAACCATCACACCAACATCATGCCTGCACAGAGAACATTTGAAATTTAAATCAGCCAACCACGACATTTCATCAAATAGGTCAAATGAGTAAACACAAAATACACAAATGTATGTTTTGAATTTATTTTAGCTGAAAAAAAAAAAAAAACAGAAAAAAAAACAGGGTACTGGAGTTCCTTTTTTTAATACACGAATCTGCAGCAGCCCTGAGAAAAGAAATGCAGATTTTGCAACAACCCGGGAGGGCAACTTGTCCAGAAGTGAAACACAAAAATCAGGACGTAAAACACGCAGAATGAGCAAAATAATGTTACTAACAAACACCTTTAACAAACTTCTCATTGTATTTGCACTAAATAAATGTGCTTAAAAGGTTAATTTAATATTAAAAACATAACTTCACATTTTTTTTGTTTTTATTCTTCCATTTGGGCACATTTTTTCTGAAAAAAAAAAATTAAAATAAAGGTTAAATATAGAGGGAAAAGTGCTGCAAGAATTTGATCCAAAACCACCTGTTCAGACATAAACGCAGCCGTTGGAGGTACAGATGCAGTGTTTGTTACTTTCCATCATCAGCTTGGACCTCTCAGTTTTCATGCAAACAGGTGTCCAAGAAGTTASCCCCCTCCCACCACACACACACACACACACACACACACACACACACACACTAATGGTCAGCCCGGCCTCTTCTCCGGTTGCACTCAAGCAACATCTCCACTGATGAAGCCCATCTGGCGCATCGAAGTCACAAACGTGAAAAAGTGATTGCCGGAACATTTCTTTTCAGTGTAATGCAAAGAACAGCAACTGGAACTGCAAACATCCTAAAACTGATTTTCCAAACAGAAGCTTCAACGCAAACGTTTTGGGTGAACATTTTCAGTCCATGTAGTCGAAGTCCTCTGGGATGCCAAATGCTTTATTAATGCGGCCGTCGTCGAAGGAGAACTTCTTTTTCGTCCAGGACTTGATGGCAAAAACATTGTCTGAAAACAGAAATTAAATCGAAATGTTTTCCATTGGATGAGAGTTGATAGTAAATTTCTAATTTACAGCAGAGTCACTTGGTAAACGGAGGAATAATTCTGGACTTGGGAATGCCAGTTGAGCCCCCTGGACTAAACTATCTGTTCTGGTTTTCTCAAGCTAATCTTTTTATTTTAGTGAACATTGAGTTTTTGACTAAAAGATCTGATTACTTCCTGAGGAAAAACAAACATTTACCACCACTTTGGATCAAAAGCACCTGCAAACAKTTTGGATAATTGTGGGGGGGACAGACTAATCTTAATAAGAACCATGAACAGGATGTGCTCCAAGATACAATGAAAACAACACAACCTGGCAAATAAAATCTTCCTTTTGACAAATTTAGTCAGAATGTTTATGAATACACAAACATTTACAGCACATCTAGGACACAAGACCTTAGTTTTCTTTTCTTTTCTTTTTTTTGACACAATAAACCCACATGTGTGAACATTTTAAACAACAGGCACAAACATACAATGTAACCAATCAGTGTTTTCACTGACATAATAAACCAGGAAAAAKATCATAAAAGCCCATAATAAGTTCAACACAACAGCTGTTTAAGAATAGAAACACAAGTGTTTTGTGAGCATCACAAAGCTTTCCTTCATCAGTGAGACAGTTCTGTTTGTAATCTGAAAGACTTGACATCAGAGTGAGTCACAGACACACAGCTTTGGTCAAATTCTGCTCTGGTTTTGTACTTTGAGATGAACAGTAGGGGTTTRTCTGAGAAGTTGGTTTGAGTTTAGATATTTAGAGCTCAAGATATATATATTTTTTTCATTTTAATGAAAATCTGATGTCTAAGAGAACCCTAGAGTTCAAAACTTTGAGTATGCAGGTTAATTTTAAAAAGTACAAATTTACTAAATTAGTTTTTTCCATCTTTTTTGAACCTCACACTCTTGCTCTGAATTTCCTGTCCATTTTGACTCTATAGGTATTCAGTGCTGTAAAAACAAACTGGTCGTTTCTGCATCAAAATCATCAACACTTACGGAGCAGAAAAAAAGTTACAAAATACAACAAATTGCAGTTTACAGGGAATCTCATGAATGCTAACCCCTTCCACTTCCAGGTTTCAAACTGATGTTTTAAGAAATGGACAGAGGCTAAAGGTATTTCACCAGTCTCATTGTTGTGCAAAGCCAGCAGAAACAGTCTCGCAATAAAAGCGTGGAAAGATGCAACCGTCCCTTCACACACACCTTTAACATTCAGATTTTCTGAGCTGCTCTGAGTGGAAGCAAAACAATCCGGTCATTTGGATCAGTACAAAAATCTATATTGTAATGACAGCATCCACCACAGAACAGAGTGTTAGGTAGGTGTGAATCTCCACGTATTTAAAAGAGAAAAAAATACGTTATCTCAACATAAACAGACAGGAAACAGTTTTTACTGGTTTCCTTTATCTCCAAGGTGAGTCTGAGGTTACTGCTGAGGTCAACAAAAACACAAAAGATACCGAGCACTGACTTCTACACTGACGGTTCTTATTCTTTATTATTATTATTATTATTATTATTAGTAGTAGTAGTAGTAGTAGTAGTAGTAGTAGTAGTAGTAGTATTACTATTATTACTATTATTATTATTATTATTGGTTCTTTCCCTACAATGAAAGCTTATTAATCTTCCTGCATAGTTAAATACAGAGAATGTTAATTTTTTATTGTGTCAATTAGATTTAATGTCCTAAAACGTTTCAATAAAAATAGTGTCACATATATATTTTTAAATTTTCAAGTTACTGAAGGTTTTTTTCTTGATGAAAAAGTTGATTTGCATTGACCATGACAGATTTATGATAGCAATAAAAGCATAAAACACCAAAGGTAGTGAATACTTTTTATAGACACTGTAAATAAAAATAAAGGTAACCTACCTGTCCACCTGGAAACGGCTTCTTTCGCAACAACATTTGATTTTCCTGTAAACACACAGTTTATAGTAATCACTATATAAATTAAACAAAGTCCAACAAATTCATCCATTTATTTAACAAATGCAGACGTGTGTCAGTGCAGACAGCAGTAACTCACTTTGGCCTTGGCTAACTCAGACTAGCCGTCGTAACTAACCYCTGCTCCTGCAAATGGAGTTTAACGAGCTATYCACAACAGGTAAGATATTATTTGTTCACAATCTCTCCACAGAACTCCCACTTCTAAAGTACAAGTAAGYTGCTGTGATTTACAYGCCCTTTGRWGTTTTTTCTTCTTACCTATTACTGCAGCAGCATTAAACATTTAGCAGTAACTATGGGTGTGGCAATCATCGTCGACAGTGAACATTATCATTGGACCATTGTCCTTCCACTCTGCTGCATGCACACCCACTAGTTTTAATGCTGATTACAAATCCCACCCGTTACCACACAGTTTACTAGTATCTGGGTGTGAGAACCACCGGGTAAGCCAGGACATCAACAAGCAGGTCTTTTAGTTTTGTGTGTATAATTTTGTTTGCTACAATCAGACTACTAATAAAGGAAGTAAAGCAAACCCGTCAGCAGTTCAGGTATGTTTCATTTGAACAAAGAATTCTTCACTTCCCTTAAAAACTTTCTTCCAAAGCAAAACACTTTTTATTATTATTTTATGGCTAAGGACATTATAAATAAGGACTTTAAACTTTCCCTGACCATCCAAAAATGTATTTACTGGTAATAAAAAGTGTAATAACGCTGCTAATAGTACTTCTAAAGAAAAACAAAACATTCAGGAGATTCTGCTTTTAACCGTTTTTAGGCAGATTCAGCGAGTTCAATCAGACTCCTTTCTGCAGCAGACACAACATAATGTGATAGACTCAGCACACAGCTGCACACGCCTCTTCAGAATACAATTCAATCACCACTGTGGGGAGATGCTTATCTGTAACAGAACTGTGTGTGTGTGTGTGTGTGTGTGTGTCTGTGTGTGTCAGATGAAAAAGAAGAAAATTAGACCTGCGGGCATGTAGGGACAGATGGGTGAAAACAAAAGACTGAAGGTAAAAGCAAACATTTCTCTCCCTCTCAAATGATCTGTGTAATAAACCTGGTCATGGCATGTGGTTTTATGCTCATACACTACAAACACGCAACTTTTTATAATTATAAAGATACTAGTTGCAAAGATTTCAAATCTACACCTCAATGGCTAAAAAAATAAAACAATAAATAATCTGTTGCAAATTAAAGTCCAGATCAAATGCTGAGGTGGGAACATAGGAGAGAACATAAACAAAGGCTTGTAATCTTCAATAAGATGAATTTACTCCACAATATCGTAATGATGTTGGAAATACTTTCTGCATGTTTGTGAGGACGTCACAGGAGAAGAAGTGAAGTGGAAAAGAACAGCAGAACTGTGTTGGGCCGCAGTGTGGGTCTGCTGGGGCATTTGAGAGGTGTAGGTAAACAGACCAGACAATTTATTACACCACACACACACAGGTTTGTTTTTATATCCCAGTGCGGACCGTGGATTGACTTCCATTTATTTTCTGGTAATTTTATAGCCTAACCTACCATTTACCCTAAAACTAACCTCACAGGTACCTTACCTACGACAGAGTATTAGGGCCACACGAGATTTGTTTTTTAAATTACGAGAATAAAGTCATAATATTACGAGTTTAAAGTCATAATATTACGAGAAAAAATGTCCTAATATTTTAACCTTTACATGAAAAACCATGCAGTTACCACAGCATTAAAATGAAGAATGTTGAGCAACTTGTCAAGTTGTTCTTTGGTATTCCTATAAATCAATAATCTTTTAGCACATTAGCATCAAATTATCAGTATCAGGACTTGGAAGTTGTGCAAACAACTATAAACTGAAGCCGTAATGTAATTAATTGACAGATTTAGTCGTCACGTAGCTAATTTGGATGAAAGCTTATTAATCTAACAGTGACCCAAGTCATCGCAGACTACTTTATAAACACAGACACATGGCTGTACAGCAGGTGTGGGGAAAATAAGGAGGAAATGAGGAACGGGAAAGAGGCACTTCATGATAATGACTTTTCTCTTTATATTACGACTTTAATCTTGTAAAATTGTGACTTTATTCTCATAAAATTACGACTTTAATCTCGTAATGATAACAAAAAAAATCTTGTTGTGTGGCCCTATTACTCCGTCGTACCTATCTGACTCTAAAACTAACCTAAACTCAGTTTACACCTTGATCCTACACCCAACCCCCCACCTGCAATTTGCATTCGTACCCGTGGGGCCCGGGCATTGATTCCCACGATGCATGTTCGGTCCCCACAATGTAGGAAAACCATGCCCCCGCCACACACACACACACACACACACACACACACACACACACACACACACACACACAAGTCTCTTCTGCAGGTGAGTTACAGCACAAACACGAAGTGGTGCAGGTTTTTTTTTTTTTTATAACACCACTTAAAGCTGTCTGAACCGTGCGCTCACGGTGAAGGCGTGTTTAAAAGCCAGTACAAAATGTATGTCCTGTAAAATCCACTTTGTGTTATAAAAAAACAAAAACAACAAAAAAAGAAAGTTATAACCAGGCTTGTAAATTCAGAGGTTACAAAGTTCACCTAAAACTGACATCCGAGACTTGAGCCAGAGAGGAAAGCCTTGAACTGTGCACATTTGCTGCCTGCCATCAATATTTAACAGGTTTATGGTTGGGCCTGATATTCCTACCAGAAAGCTGTCAGCTGACAGATTCTGCTGCCGAACAGACGGAGCGCTGGTTTCAGCAGCAGAATCAGCTGCATCCAGTTGTTGCTGGCGGCTGCCAACACTCAATGTCTGCATCGTGATCAGCCATAAGATTATGACCAAACACCAAGGGCAGATATTTGAGCATTTATGATGTCTTAGAGCGTTTGATGCCTGACAGCTAAAAATAAATTTGCTGGATTCAAGATGCTTTCCAAGTATTTTGAAATAGCAATACTCAAAGGCTTATTTAAAAACTATTCTGTTTGTATTTTATTGTGTAGGAGACACTTAATTTCTTCAAGTCAGTGAATGGAAATGATTTGATTGAATAAAACGCTCAATATGACCATATTTCAATTCAATATCAATTTTTTCAGCTCAGCAAGGTTTTTTTTTTTGTTTGTACTCACTCATTTCCTCAATGACTTCTGGGTCACAGTCACGGTATTTTTCCAGCGAGGCCTGCAGCTGCGTTCTCTCCTCTCTCAGAGCCTGCAGCTCCTTCAGTAGAGCGCTCCTTTCTTTCTATACACACAAACACAAGCACACACACACATTTTCTGCAAATGTTTCCTGACTTTAAATTTAGTCACTTTTTAAATTCCATTTTTTTCACATGTAGTATACATGTCTTTACCGTATCTTGGCGTCCTACTTTTGCCTTATCGACCATTTTCTGTACAGATGCTTGCCGCTGTTTTGCATCAGAAATCTTAAAAACACAAAATGATTTATTTGTAAAATCYGTAGTACACACAGCTTTGGCTTTTACCGATTTGTGACATAAAATCGTTAGCAAAATAATACCTGCTGTGCACAACACCAGTCTGAAAAAATGATTAAAAGAATGCTGAAACATACAGACAAATTTTAAAACTGTGCAACCCGGCCACTCCTAACTTTTGATTGACATCAGTAATAAATCCTAATGATTCACTGGCATTCAAGGACAATTACAGCTCTTCAAATGTTCTGTTTAAGCACATAAGTTCTGCCATTTGACAGGAAATGTTGCTGTACAAGTGCATGTACTAAAAGTTTGGTAAAATAAATAAATAAATATATAAATAAATGAAAAAAGCTTAATCAAAGACATCATTTAAAGACTGAACACTATGAAACCTCACCAACAGTAACCGTCATGTCATGTTTGATATGATTATYCTTGAGTATGTCCTGCTTTCTTCTTTTATCATTGGCATACAGCGGGTAAAATAAGTATTGAAAACGTCAACATTTTTCTCAGTAAATATATTACTAGAGGTGCTAATGACATGAAATTTTCACCAGATGTCGGTAACAACCCAAGTGATCCATACATACAAAGAAATCAAACCATAAATGTCCAGAAACTCTTTCAGAGATGAGGATGTTCTCATTCTTGATA